TGTTCTATTGTTTCCAGTACTTGCCATATATAATCTCCAATGTATCTTCCATGTATAAAACATGTCTGATTAGAATGAATAATGTCCGACAATACCTTTTGAATTCTATGAGCTATACATTTTGCTAGAATTTTTGCATCACAACACTGAAGTGTAAGGGGCCTCCAATTTTTTTTAATGGACTGGATCTTTGTATTTTCCACTTGTATCCTGTTTCAGTAATAATGAGATCAGACCTTCTTCTTGAGTGTCTGGAAATCTACCATTTACATAGGAGTGGTTAAAACATGCTAATAACAGTCCACTGAGTATATCAAAAAAGGTTTGGTATACCTCGACTGGTATGCCAGCCAACCCTGGAGTTTTCCCGGACTTAAAGTCTTTAGTTGCATCCAGAAGTTCCTCCTCTGTAATTTCACCTTCACATGAGTCTTTCTGTATGGCTGTTAATTTTACATTATCAATAGAAAAAAATCTCTACAATTAGCTTCAGTTAAAGGAGATGGAGGCGACTGAAATGAAAACATATGCTTAAAGTACGTTGTTTCCTCCTTCAAAATATCATTTGGTGAATCATGGGTGACTCCGTCATTTGTAACCAGTTTCAGTAAATTATTTTTGGTAGCATTCCTATGCTGAAGATAAAAAAAATATTTGGTGCATTTTTCCCCATATTCCATCCAGTTTGCTTTATTTTTTTATAATATATTACACTTGATCTTTCTTGAATAAGTTTCTCCATTTCTTTTTGTTTTTCCTCTAATTTATTCTGAGCCTCTATGTTACAGTTTTTATTGCTATCTATCTGTTCTGTTAGACCTTCTATTTCCTTTGTTAGTATGGACTCTTTTGACCAAAATTTATTTTGTTTTTGAGATGAGTACTGAATTGCATGGCCTCTAAAGGCACATTTAATGGTGTCCCATACAATAAGGGGATTTGCTGTACCTGTACCCAAATGTTTCTGTTGGGCAGTTAGGTTCCTGCAAGAACCCCCACCAACTAAGGAGGTTCCTCGACGAACCCCGCCTCCTATGGGGTTCTTGGAAGAACCTTTTGGGGGCAATTTTCCATGCCAAGAACCCTAAGGTTCTTCAAAGAACTTTGAGGATCTTAGAAGAACCCTTGTTGAGCCCCTAATTCTTAGAGTGTATAGGCTACATGTGCACCACCAAGTCAGAACAGTAGGCTAAGTTATGAGGGAGAAGGGACCAAATTATTAAGGTGAGGCACATGGGCTACTAAAAGCTTACTACATAACATACAATTAGCATTACTTTCTTAGCTACAGTATACATATCTCCCTGGCATATTACATAATTTATGCAGCAGCATACAATACATTTTTGGACTCACCTTGTTGTGCTGTGCTAACTTCAACAGGAAGGTGGCGCGGCGGTCCTTCTTGTGGGAGATTCTCTGGATTTATGGTGCTTTCAAGACAACTGGGAACTCTGAAATAAAAACAAGGTTGAATCATGATGTCAGTGATCTTCAGGTTGGACCTTTAGAAAGAGGCCCAAGTTCCTGGCTTGGAATTCTGAGTTGGATGACCGTTCAAAACATATTTTCCCAGTCGGAGCTAGTTTTATTCAGAGTTCTTAGTTGTATTGAACTCACTGAAGTCTGAGATTTCCCAGTTCCGAATTTCCAGTTATTTTGAATGCGGCAGAAGTCATGCTGCATTGATATCATGGTCAATGTATTCTAACCTTTTCTTGCCCATGGCATGTGAACGTTTATCCTTTTAAGCTTGGAAAAGAGACCCTTAAACCCAGATGTTGGACCACACACCCACTCCACTGAATAGCAGGATAGTGTTTGCTTTGCAACACTTGCCGTTAGCCACTTATTCCTTCCAAACCACTCATTGTTGAATTTGCGATTTCCAACTTGTTGTGTAATGTTTATGTCCAATGGCCGATGAGCACCGATACGTTTTATCTATAATTTCTCTTCATATGACAAGGATTGAAAAGGATTTGCCAGTAGATTGTCGACTTGATTCATGATAACTGCTTGTCTAGCTTGCTAGCTAAGATTTTGAAAGTATGATGTTGACATGATCAGTCCAATCAAAACGATGGTAGATATAACGTGATTTACATCATTTTATCTGTGGCCAATGACATTGAGCCTTCTTGGATGATTACTTCTAATGTAAATCTATGGCAGCACCCAAGGGGCTTGACTTTTCGAACTCTCCCCCGTAGATTTTGCGGTGACGTAGTGTCCCCATGAGTGACAGAACACTGAGCCAATCAAGGTGCAACTAGAGAACATTACCAACCCCTATGCTCCGTATTTTCCGCAGGCTGCCACCACCACAGAAAGCACTGAGCTAGGCTGAAACACCTGTATTTTGGAGCTGCATTACTCAAAAAATAGACCATGTTTGTATGCAGCTCTATTAACTCAATTATACATCTTTTTTACATTGTTTGCAAACTGATTTTTTTTTTGCTAAACAGGTGGGGCTCAAAACAGGTGGGGCTTAATTGACGTTCCAGCTGTGTATCTGTGCATGTGCCAGCACCAGTAGCCAAGCCTCCCTCTAAGAGCCAATTTATGCTGAATCTGAAAATGTGGTCGGAGGCGCCATATGGATGGTGTGACGCAGTTGTGGAGCCTCTGGAGGCACGCAGAGGCCAAATTGAGCTCTGTACAGCATCGCCGTGCGCCCCTCAAATGTTGTAGCAATGCGGAGGGCTCCATATAGCTCCGCATTGACATGATTGGTTGACGGTAGGTGAGGGTGGGAGGTCCTGTATAAACACAAACTCACTTCCTTGACAACTTCCTTCACAACAGCTCTGCGCTGCTTGGCGAAGCACAATAAGTATAAATGCCCTGACTTTTGCAGAGGCCATATCACCGTAAATGCTGCACGGCCAATGCAGACTTCGGAATGACCATGCAGCGCCTTTTATGCACAAGTGAAGTGAGTTCGGAAAAACTGAAAGTATGCATCTTAGAAATAGTTTTCACATACAAACTTTATTCGTCCGAATTCAAAATCTAATAGGCTTCACAAAAATAAGTATCACTGTGGTAGAATGTTAATTTTGATTGCCGAATTGTCTGCATTAACAAAAGTCCCATCAGTAGCCCGATATAATGTGTCCTATGTAAACAGGATTATTAGGGTATTTGTTCTTCTTGTAAACGTTTTAAACAAACTATTATATTAAGTCTGACTATCCACAATAATCAGATTATTGTGTGCATGTAACCGTACTCAATGTTCTTCACTTGATTTTTCAGTTTTACCACCTGAAGGATGTCATTTTTCACGTTTGTTCGCTTTGTATTGTGTGCCTTCTGAATTTGCTGTTTGGATATTCCATCTATAAGAGTGTCATGCTCAGTTTACCCTAGCCCAGTAATTCCCAACTTTTTTTGGTTACTATACCCCAAATCACATTTTGCTCTGTCCAGAGAACCCACAAAGTACCCCCTCATGTGCATTTTACCAGTAGGCCTTTGGTCTTATGAGTCTTCCCAAGTACCCCCTGTGGATAGCCCACGTACCCCATGGTTGGGAACCACTGCCCTTAGCCGACTAAACTCAACTCCACGATTTAGGATGGAGTTGAGCGGCAGACTGGAGCTCTGACATCACATAAAATGAAGTTTTTATATAAAAAACTGTATTGGAGCTCCAGTCCATTATTGCTGATAAAGAGACATTCCAATGAGCAATTCCATTTTATTAGGGAGAATAACACATGGAAAGACGCTCAGAGCTACTGTAGGAAGAAACACACAGACCTGGCCAGTGTGAGGAACCAGGCTGATAACCTGAAGATACAGCACCCACTGGGCACATCACGTCATTTCAACATGAACATTTTGGTAACATTTGGTTGAGATATTGATCAATGAGATTTCAACCTTCATTCACCCACTCAAAAAGACAGCCAGAAGTTTGTTGAATTCCCAATGTGATATCACTATGCTTTCAAGTGATCACTAAGCACAACCAAATTCCAATGGAAAAACATTTTCAGATTTTTGGTTTAGTTGTCATCTACACTGAGTATAAAGCCAATTCGTAATCCAATCCAAACTTGCCTCGAGGTCACATGTTTGTGATGCCTTAGTTAGATGCGCTTCCAAAGCAACCACAGAACAGGGAATCCAAATGGTGTAAAACAACAACAATTTATTTTCCAAACAAAAGGTTCTAAGTCGTGGCATAGCGTAGCGGTCAAAAACCTGTAAGGTACCACCATACCCGAGGCCTAGTAGACCCATACTGCCAAAAACCTAAATAGGTAAAGGGAAGGGGAACATGGGAAAAAAAGGGGTGTGCCCAGGAAAGGCTCCATAATGCTTTAAAATACCCATGATAATCATAATAGAAAACCAAAAACATAAGTTCATCAACCATACTCCATAATTCATAATTAAATATTTATACTTTTATTTAATAATATTTTAAAATGGAGCAAAACAATAAATATAGCACAAATAAAGAAAATGGGAATTTGGCTCCAACATACCTGGCCTCTAATTGTGACTGTGGGGACACAAAACAATTACCAATAATAAACACTAGAACCAAAGTTCAATATATTGTCCATAATAGTCCATTAATGATGAAAAAAAAACGGTGTAAAAACACTATAAGTGTTCCAAGGAACAGTGTAGTCTGCTATACGGCGGCTTCCAGCAGCAGACATAGCTTGGTGAAGGGCCTCCAAAGTGTGATGGTCTGGGTTCTCACCTTCACTTGCCTAACCAGCCCTCTGGAGTCTGGGGTGGTTTGTGTGACTGGCCCCATGATCCACAAGTTACGTGGGGCAGAGTCATCCACGATAAGAACTATGTCCCCAGGGACAAAGTTTCTTATTTTTCTTGTCCATTTTTGTTGTTCCTGCAACTCGAGAAGATACTTTTTGGTCCATTCTTCTGTTGTTCTGACTGGCCAACCACAGCTCATACTTGACTGGAGGCTTCCAGGATATCAGTGAGTCTCCCTTTTTGCACAAACTGACCCTTAACAGGGTGTCGTAAAATCTGGGGGGACGTTGGAAATACTTCTTCACCATTTTCTGAGCGGCTTCCACACTCTCCAACTGGATATAACACTTTCTATGACCCCAGTTCAAATGATAGCCATTGATTTTACCAAAACGCTGGGCAAGCCGTAACAGAGAGATGTCCGAGTACTTCTGGAGTGGAAGCATACAAATGTAGCTGGATCTCCCACTGAGATTCTCCAACTTTTTCTGTGAAAAGTGCATGATAACATTGTCAGGTTTCCACAACAACTGTCCTTTGCCTTTGTAGAACTTCACCATCTTATGTTCTTCATCGGTAGTATCACGCTCTAACAATGCCTCCTGTCTGAAAAAGGATATGGTATGGTTTACAACATTCACGTTTGTTCGCTCTGCCAGTTTCAAGATGGCCACCTCCATGTCTCTATAGCCCTTTCTAATTGGGCTAATGTAGACAACCTTTCCATCCCATGAAGAATCCATTGACTCCAGTGATGCGTCCCCTCCAGTATCGAGTTCATCCAATGTAACAAAATCATCCATATTCTCAGGGAAATCCATGTCATCCATGTTGTCATCTTCATGAAAACTCTCCTGATCCATCATGTCCTCCATTGAGACAACAGCATCACCCAGAGCTGGATCATCAGCAGTCTTTAGGTCAGAATCCTCCAAACCTCCTCTGAGGAGCTTTGTTGACCTTCTCCTTGTTCCACCACTTTCTCAGCAGGTTGTTTGCCTGTACTGGGTCTCTCTTTGTTTTGTGAAATTTGAGGTCTCCTAGCCCTCATGTCTGCTGCTGTGGCTTTTACTAGAATCTTCTCTTTTGGATGTGGTGGAGTCAGGACTTTCTCTCAGGCGCTTCAGTGACGATGACAAGCTGACTTTGACACTCTTTCCATTGATCTTGAGGGGGTTGGAGTAGTAGTACTTCACCATAATGTCAGCATCCTTCCAATCTACCATCTCAATCAGGGCCTGATCACTTGAATATTTTAAAAGTCACACATCCCCAAGATGGCGAGAATGAGAATTTCAGATTCTCTTTCCTTCCCAGGAGGTACGTGGGAAAAACAAACCACTGTATTGGTAACTTGTTTGATGGGCCATTTTTCTGGTGGTTCATCCAACTTTGGCGTATAAATACTGCACACTACAGGTGACAGGTACAGAGTCAAACTATTTCCATTCACAAAACCTTTGCTTTCACCGAAGTGATCCACCATATTGACTGCCTCTTTGTGCGAACCAAACTCCAGAAAGCCCTTGCAGGGGAACACCACATGTTTTACAACTGAATGGCTTAGCCAAAGTCATCAACAGAGCCAAGGGGAAATTTAGTGACAACCACCTTAATGCCAGCCTTGGCCTTCAAATGGTGTCTCAGCCCGCTCTGGTCGCACTCTCCTATAGTCAGTGTCACCATGGCTGCTTGACCGGCGACGGACTGCAGGGGCTGTCCTGTCTGCTGCTGTGATTCTGTGAGTCTGTTGGCACTTTCACTGCAAAGCCTTTGTCCAGGATGCCTGCCATGAACTTGGTGTAGTCCTCACAGAACTGAGGATTCTTGGCGAGTTTCGTTTTCAGGTTGAGAGCACGCTGTACTGCCCCACAGCGGTTGTTAGGAAATTCAGCATCCTCATTCCTCAGTGGTAGGCATATATTTGTAAGTCGCTCTGGATAAGAGCGTCTGCTAAATGACTTAAATTTAAATATACTATAGTGGCCACCCACAAGCTTGGCTGACTGTGAGACATGCTCCATGAAGAGATGCTCTTCTCTTGATATTTCAAGCTGCTCCTCATGGTGGCGCTCTGGGAAGTCATGCTTAATATGTTGCTGAAGCAGTTCTTCCAGTTCTACAACAGAGATTCTGTGTGCCATTACATGACACTGCCAATAGTTGGAGACATTGCCCTTTTTTTGTGGCCTATTAACAATCCAGCCCAGAGAGGTTTTCACAGCGTATGGGCCATCTCCTTGGCTGTTTATAACCTTCCATTGTCTGAGGCACATTGGTTCCAATCAACAATCCAACTTCACCATCAATCTTCGAGACACACTTCTTCCAAATATGGCCGGCCATTGGTCCACATCTGCCTGGGTAGGAATGTTCTCCTTAAATTTACAGGGATTTCCTTTTCAGTGTAAACGGCAGGGAGTTCTACAAAACTGCTGTCATCAAGGCTGCTTATCTCCAAGCCAGAGACAACAAAGGTACTCACAACTTCCTGCTTGTTTATAGTCTTGAGAAGAATGTCTGTTCTTCTTCCAGGGACCTTGAGATCTTGAAGCAGTGCTTCTGTACAGAATGTAGCTGTACTGTCTGGATCTAGAAAGGCATACGTTTCCACTGTTCTGTTACTTTTTTTCAAAGTGATTTGATTGGTCTGAAGCCAAATCCAAACTGGTGTCCTTTGGGGGGCATTTTGCTGCACCAGGACAACCCACAGTTGAGCTCAGCTCAACGCTGATTTGCTAATTCGTTTATAATATCACTGGAGGTCAAATGCTTGCTGGCATCAATCAATAAAATGCTATGGCGGCAACATGTTATACTCTTTTGGTCCAGACAGCATCAGATACATTGGCTACACATACTGAGACAGAGGGGTGCTGTTTCCCTCGCTCTGATGATTTTTCCGGTGAGTTTTAGCCACTAGCGAATTGATGGAAAATTATGAAAACACAGAGAGAGATGAAAGATACATTATTTTATAATTGAAATGTATTTATTGGTCAAATATTTGGGGACGCCTGACTTCCTTTGGCATCCATGAATAAACGCCTCTGGCTACATTGTAGTTAGCGAGAGAGCAAGTCGCAAAGACAGTGGCACAACGGCCGATATGCTATTCCTTCTAAGTGAAGCACTGAAACATTCCAGATAAGAGAGTGAGAGGTGGTGGTGGTGACAGTGGTAGGGAAGTAGATGGCGGCCCATTTGTCAGCATCTATGCATCCCTCTGGCTTGGGGCGAGGCGAGCGAGCACCGCAGCTCTGCATTACAAATTACACTCAGTGTGAGTTTCCCGAAGAATACAAAAATAAGTACCCTATTATTATACTTGAGTAAAAGTAAATATACCTACATTGAAAATGATTCAAGTAAAAGTGAAAGTCACCCAGTAAAATACTACTTGAGTAAAAGTCTAAAAGTGCTTGGTTTTAAATATACTTAATTATCAAAAGTAAATGTAATTGCTAATAGATACTTAAGTATCAAAAGTAAAAGTAAAAATAATTTAAAATTCCTTAAATTAAGCAAACCAGACTGCACCATTTTCTTGTATTTTATTTATTTATTGACATAATTTGAGTCAATTGGAGGTGTACCTGTGGATGTATTTCAAGGCCTACCTTCAAACTCAGTGCCTCTTTGCTTGACATCATGGGAAAATCAAAAGAAATCAGCCAAGACCTCAGAAAAAAAATGTAGACCTCCACAAGTCTGGTTCATCCTTGGGAGCAATTTCCAAACGCCTGAAGGTACCACGTTCATCTGTACAAACAATAGTACGCCAGTAGAAACACCATGGGACCACGCAGCTGTCATACCGCTCAGGAAGGAGACGCGTTCTGTCTCCTAGAGATTAACATACTTTGGTGCGAAAAGTGCAAATCAATCCCAGAACAACAGCAAAGGACCTTGTGAAGATGCTGGAGGAAACAGGTACAAAAGTATCTATATCCACAGTAAAACAAGTCCTATATCGACATAACCTGAAAGGCCGCTCAGCAAGGAAGAAGCCGCTGCTCCAAAACCACCATAAAAAAGCCAGACTACGGTTTGCAACTGCACATGGGGACAAAGAACTTACTTTTTGGAGAAATGTCCTCTGGTCTGTTGAAACAAAAATAGAACTGTTTGGCCATAATGACCATCGTTATGTTTGGAGGAAAAAGGGGAAGGCTTGCAAGCCGAAGAACACCATCCCAACCGTGAAGCACGGGGGTGGCAGCATCATGCTGTGGGGGTGCTTTGCTGCAGGATGGACTGGTGCACTTCACAAAATAGATGGCATCATGAGGAAGGAAAATGATGTGGATATATTGAAGCAACATCTCAAAACATCAGTCAGGAAGTTAAAGCTTGGTCACAAATGGGTCTTCCAAATGGACAATGACCCCAAACATACTTCCAAATTTGTGGCAAAATGGCTTAAGGACAACAAAGGTATATAATATAATATAATATGCCATTTAGCAGACGCTTTTATCCAAAGCGACTTACAGTCATGCGTGCATACATTTTTGTGTATGGGTGGTCCCGGGGATCGAACCCACTACCTTGGCGTTACAAGCGCCGTGCTCTACCAGTTGAGCTACAGAGGTATCAAGGTATTGGAGTGGCCATCACAAAGCCCTGACCTCAATCCTATATAAAATGTGTGGGCAGAACTGAAAAAGCGTGTGCGAGCAAGGAGGCCTACAAACCTGACTCAGTTACACCAGCTCTGTCAGGAGGAATGGGCCAAAATTCACCATATTTATTGTGGGAAGCTTGTGGAAGGCTACCCGAAACATTTGACCCAAATTAAACAATTTAAAGGCAATGCTACCAAATACTAATTGAGTGTATGTAAACTTCTGACCCACTGGGAATGTGATGAAAGAAATAAAAGCTGAAATAAATCATTCTCTCTACTATTATTCTGACATTTCACATTCTTAAAATAAAGTGGTGATCCTTACTGACCTAAGACAGGTAATTTGTACTAGGATTAAATGTATTTGGCTAACGTGTATGTAAACTTCCAACTTCAACTGTATATATATGACTGTTTAACATTTTCAATTAGGACACATACAGTAGATGTTTCCTTTATTATGTTAGTAAGTCCTTTATTATGTTTGTTATAGACTACGTTTATTTGTATAGCCTACACTTTGTTTACCCTGAATCATTTCAACAAAATCCTTTAAGGGCTTGGACCCCTTATGACAGTATAGTACAAACATAACACAAATTACATACACACAGCAACTTCATTGCAAGATAGCACAACATCATCACGTCATATCATACCTACAAGACATTATCAGCATAGCAACTACTGACAGGTAAAAAAGCATACACATTTTAATGTCCAGCACACAGGAACACTGAGGCATCATGTTGCTAAATCAAAAACTCAGTAAATGTGATATGGAAAGTGTCCAGGTGGGTCAGTGTATCAGGGGAGAATGCAGTAATAGGAGTGTGCAGGCCGGACAGTCCATACATTCCTATGCTGTGGGAGGAGGGGGCAGGTATGGTAGTACACTTATAATTGTGACACCGTGCAGTGCATATATATATATTTTTTACCTTTATTTAACTAGGCAAGTCAGTTAAGAACAAATTCTTATTGACAATGATGGCCTACCAAAAGGCAAAAGGTCTCCTACGGTGATGGGGGTTGGGATTAAAAATAAATAAATAAAATATAGGACAAAACACACATCACGACAAGAGAGACACCAGAACACTACATAAAGAGAGACCTAAGACAACAACATAGCATGGCAGCAACACATAACAACAGTGAGGCCTAAGAGAGTTGTATAAATACGCTTCAACTAGTGGATCTTGCGAAAGGTATAAAGAGATGAACAGTTTACAGAGTATAGAGTGCAGTGATGTGTCCTATAAGGAGCATTAGTGGCAAATCTGATGGCCAAATGGTAAAGAACATCTAGCCGCTCGAGAGCACCTCTCTGTAATCTAGCATGGGTAGGATGGTCATCTGAATCAGGGTTAGTTTGGTAGCTGGGGTGAAAGAGGAGTGATTACGATAGAGGAAAGTCTAGATTTAACATTAGCCTGCAGCTTTGATATGTGCTGAGAGAAGAACAGTGTACCGTCTAGCCATACTCCCAAGTACTTGTATGAGCTGACTACCTCAAGCTCTAAACCCTCAGAGGTAGTAATCACACCGGTGGGGAGAGGGGCATTCTTCTTGCCAAACCACATGACCTTTGTTTTGGAGGTGTTCAGAACAAGGTTAAGGGCAGAGAAAGCTTGTTGGACACTAAGAAAGCTTTGTTGTAGAGTGTTTAACACAAATTCCGGGGAGGGGCCAGCTAGTATAAGACTGTATCATCTGCATATAAATGGATGAGAGAGATTCCTACTGCCTGAGCTATGTTGTTGATGTAAATTGAGAAGAGCGTGGGGTCTAGGATCGAGCCTTGGGGTACTCCCTTGGTGACAGGCAGTGGCTGAGACAGCAGATGTTCTGACTTCATACACTGCACTCTTTGAGAGATGTAGTTAGCAAACCAGGCAAAAGACCCCTCAGAGACACCAATACTCCTTAGCCGGCCCACAAAAATGGAATGATCTACCGTATCAAAAGCTTTGGCGAAGTCAATAAAAATAGCAGCACAACATTGCTTAGAATCAAGGGCAATGGTAAGGTTGCAGTCACACATCCATAACCT